GTGTGCAGCCTTTTATCTGTTGCTGGATGCTGAGAGCAAACCCAGACCTCATAAGAAGAAAACTGTAGCTATCATGACAATATTTTGCATGCAGACGAAGCTTGATTCAAGTATGGCAGTGAAGGTTTCTGACTGACCTGTCCTCACTGTTTTGGAGCTTTTTTTGCTTGCTTAAATACAGTAAGCTGCTCTCACTTATGAGTATGTCTGTCCTTTGCCGTAAACATCCCTGTGACAAAATGGTTGTTTTGACGTCATCCTTCAGAGGCTAGGATAACCAAGCCTTAGAAAAATATAGCACCTCCCCCAGAGCTGTGATGGCTGTGCTGCTGCTTGCTGATCCTCCTCTTATCTGTGCTTTTCCTTTACAGGATGCAGTTCTTAATTGTGGCCCGAGTCCCTGTGGGTTTCTTTTCCTCCCACAAAGCTGCTCACCCTGGAGGAGCACAGGCATGGACACGAGGCCACAGCAGCTCTCCCGTTGTGTCAGACAGCAGAGACATTGGAGTGGAAGAAGGCCCCACAGATTTACAGGGGAAATTGCACAGTCATTGACTTTCCATCCAAAAGATGAAGAGGAGTTTCTTTTGCAGCACCTATCATAATTGTTTGGGTGGGTTGTTTTTTTTTTTTTCCATTATTACTAATGCAAAACTTGCTGAAACTAAGTTACCTTAACCAGGCATGGAGTGTTGTAGCAAACTTCCACTCACTTTGGACGCTGAGGACTCAACTACCTTACAACTGCCTGATGGGCTCAGTTTAGCCACGCAATGGCACCGTTCCTTTCCTGTTAGTAGCTCAGGTGTCTAAAGCCATTTGATGTCTATGCTTGCCAGTACTGTCTGCACCTGCAGACATCGGGATGTTCCAGATTCCAGGACCACATGCCTGAAATAAATTCGGCTTCTCCTGTAAGCAGAGCTGTTGGACTGACTTGCTGTTTGCTAGGACTGGGAAGAGGCAGGGCTGCTGCAGCCCCAGCCCCACCTGGCATGGGTCTCTGTAGGGACGGGCTGCTGGCTTTGTTCCGTGCACTGCAGGGCTCTGTGACCAAAAATTACCCCCCGGAGCTGTGCTACCAGCTGTGCCCACACCTCGCTGGCATACATGGCTGAGAAGCCCCTGCACGTGGCCAGCCAGGAGCTGCTGCCCTTCTGACCACCTCACTCAATAACTGCTCTCTGCTTGGGTGCACATGCTGGAAGCTATTACTCAACAAATAAGGCAAATGTAAGAAATAAACACTAATCAGGGCTTATTGTCACAAGGTAGCCGGACAAGAGGAGTGAGAAAATGTGTAAGCACTGGGCATGTAAGTTGTGTCTGTTTCCTTGGAGGCAGAAACCTTCATGCTCTCCTAGTTCACTTGGGTGCAATTTTACTTAAAATCCTCTCAAGATCTTCTGAGCCTGTTTGAGCCTTGAAGGGCATGAACAGTCCAGCCATGAGTATTTCTTTACTGGGAGAGCTGCCACATGTCAGTGGGAAGGTTACTGCTGCCCTCTGCAGCTGAGGAGAGCCCAGACCTTTAAATTTGGGCCGTGGCATTGTTGTTTTAGTAAATCATGCCTAGTCAAGGTTTGGATGAATTTGGCATGTACAACAATCTGTGTATGCCTACCTGTTTTCCTATATGAGATTGTAAATGTTTAACAAAGCAAACCTCCTCACTTTTGCCAGTGGTTTCACTTACTGCAGTAAGAACACCACATTTTGCTTCAGCGTTTGCCACAAATTCCACACCTTGCTGTCATTCCTTCCTCAGCTTCATTTTCTCCACCCCTCACTGCTCTCGCATCTGTTACCAGACGCAGCGCCGCTTTTGGGACAAGCTGCTCTTCTGTTCAGTGAGGGCAGAACCCTCCTGGGCCCTGCCAGCCCCCCCTCCCAGCTCTTCCTGCGCAGATCTCTGGGTCCTAGAGCCCTTCTCTCAGCTCCTCCCTAAGGCTTCCCGTGCTGGCACTGGGATACCGAGTTTCCTACATCTCTGCAGATCAAGGCTCTTCTCGCTTCCAGTCTTTTGTTTTCGTCCCCACTCGCCATTAACGCCTCGTTTGCGTTCTGGTTACCAGCGGGGGGAGGAGCAGTGCGGGGATGCGTTCTCTTGCCGGCACTGATCTGCTTTGGCTGGAGCAGATCACAGACTTGAATATTTTAACCCGCTGCTCTTCTTTAAACTTCGTGCTGATTTTTGTCTTCGTTGCTTTGTTTTTCACAGTTCCACTATTTGTACCCTCCGTTCCGCTTCCATGTACCGTTCCTAATTCCACTTCCATGCAGCACTGATGTTTGCCCTTCCATACAGCACTAACATTCACGCTTCTGTGCACTGTTAACAATTCCACCTCCGTATACCATTAACCATTACATTTCCATCTGCCATTTACATTTACACTTTCATTGCCATAAGCGTTTACCAATCACAAAGACAGTGACAGTGACCAGTACAGTTTATCCTCAAGACTCTTCCTCTCTCCCAAGTTATTAGTGGGAAATGAGCCTTCCCGTTCACCTGATTCTGGCAGTGGAAATCCCACCCGACGGCGGTGGCCGGGGAGCCGATGGCATTGTGGGCTGAGCAAGGACTTCATTCAAGGCTGGATTCCTACATTTATTGATGAATATGTTTAATTTTGGTGGGCTAATTCATATGCTGACCAAATATACACATTCTGGGGGTGGGGGTGGGGCACACAACTGAGGCATGTAAGTTTGCAAACCAAAGTACTAAGAAAAAAATGCATCTGATTTCCAGGTATTAAGTCTACAGACTGCACTGAATGTTTGAAAGTAGGCAACCGGTGTATTTGTATCAGATGAAAAGCAGTGGAAAAAAACCCCAAGCCCACATCATTCTGAAGATGGAACCAAGCATTCCACTTCTGGAAATGCTACGAGATGCCTACAGAAAAAGGTCTTCTGGTTCTTATAGACAGTCTCTTCAAGGTAGGGGCTGCAAAGGCTGATGTGGATTCATGGTTTTAATTAAGCTGGTTTGAACACCAAAATATATATGCGGCAGAACTTCATAACAATAAAAAGAGAAACCCTACTCATTTTCCTGAGAACATAAAGCTACAGGATTTTATACATCCTCTGCTCAGGGAAAAAGATTTTTGTAACGTAGGGAATGAAATGAATTGTATTCAGTTCTTGTTTCGCGGGGAGTAAACTCAGTGTGAAGGATCATCATCATCATCATCAAAAAAAACCCCACCTGTGTAAACAGACTCGTGTAAGGATGCAAATTTTGCACAGAGAGAAGCAAAAATCTGCCGTGCAGCTGCTTAGAGCACATCCTCATGCCAACAATCTGAGCTGACTTAGGTAAAATCAGCTTTGACGTTCATATCCTTCACCCAGTTGCTAAAACAACATTGAGAACGTCTGTATTCAAACTCAAGGGTTTGAGGGAGGGAATGTCCAGCAGCTCAGCGTGCTGTGCCACAAAGTTCTGCCTGCTGGCTGGTGCTCCGTGGACCCTACCATGACTTCATAAGACCGGAACATCAGCAAATAATTATAAAAAATATAATTTGAGTTTTACAGTTTGACCCACACTTTTCTGCAGCTTTGAGCTCCTCTAAAGATGCGCATGGTTCCCTCTACGATTTAAGGGACATGAAAAAATGACTCAGGGAGGGAAATACCTCTACATACATCTCTTGTGTAGCGAGATAGATATGCCTCCAGATTCATCTCTTGTGTAGACAGGGAGAAACACCTCTGCGCTGTGGCAAGATTGATCTGCACTGCTGGAGCGTCCTGTATGGCAAGTGTGCTTGTGTGGCAGGAGTGCAGAATGCCCCAAAGGCTGCTTGGGGCTTTGGTCACAGGGATGTGAGCAGTTCCTTAGATGTTCAACAGTTGGATGCATTCTGTAGTGAGAAGAAATACAAAAGCCTTAGGAAAAACTCATCAGCTCAGTGTCGAGTCAGAACTGCACATCCATCTGCCTTCAGCCCCGTCCGCGCTCCTCCGCATCCCACGCAGCCCTTTGTGCTCCCAGAATCTCAGACATCTCTGCCCATTCCCAGTGATGCAGTGGGGACCAACTTCATCTACAGTGGATGGGCACTTGCCCAGTGATGCTGAGGGTGAGCAGGAAACTGTGAGACAGGAAACACGACAGTGGGCTTGTGCTCAAGTCCTGAGCAGTTTTAATTGCTGCAGCAGCCAGCAGCTGGGAGATTCTGCCAGGCTGCCTGGTGAAGAATGGCAGTTCAAGAATCAAGAGTAGGAGTTCAAGCAAATTTGTGTTATTGCTTACACCTGGCTTATGGCCTCCTCGACAGGCAGGGGAGCTGGTAGACAACCAGATGATGCCATGTGGCCCCTATGGGATTCTATAAAAATCAACTGGTTGGAGCAAACAGCCCTGAAGCTTTAGTTTTCATTAATATCTGTCTTTTGATTAAAACCCACGTAGCTCTTGCTAAAAAGTGAGGGCAGGAGCAGCTGATCTGTGTTGTACTGGTGATCCTCAGCAGTAGTTATTCCTCCGGAGTCAGACTGCTAGAGGAGCAGATGAGGACAGATTTTTGACCTGAGAAGATTCAGTGCTGAAACACTTTGCTGTCCAGCCTGCCTACAAAATACCTGGAGTGGCAGGTGAAATAGAAAATCACTTTAAATTATGGACATGAGAAAGTATGACTTGCTTCCTTGAAGCTCAAAGAGCAATATGAAAGCATGTGGGAGAAGCTTTTTGAAAGTAATGTTATGCTTTATAAAACATCAGTTTTATAAAACACTCGTTTATCCTGCTTTAAATGCTGCCCACATTCAGCAAAATATAGTCCTTTAATCTTGGGCTGAGGAGAACTCTGATGACAACTACATAAGTGAGAGGGTTAGATTAAGTCTATAAATGCACTGGAAGAGGAGAACCATGAGGTTTTCCAAAGCATAACAGAATAAAGTTAGCAAAAGGAATATTAAGAGTTTCACAGAATATTTCCTGACAGAAAAGGCTTTAGACTGTGAGCAAGCTACTTGAATGGCATGCAAACTAGGCTCGATGGGACCCACAGGTCTGTTTCTAAGGTGGAAAGGTCACAGTTAGATAACATACCTTGTTGTTTGTGCACCCTTCATTTGACAAGAAGTAGGCAGCTTGGGTCTGGCAACAAAGTTGTTTTATTTTTGTGTTTTATAAGATATTAGCTGCAATGTTCACTGATTTTGGCTTTCATACGTCCCGTGTGTTTGATAAAACATGGCCTTGTGAATCTTAAAAGCTTCGCAGAGCAATGGTAGCATCTGGGTAGATTTTCATTTTATTGGATTAATGTTAATTGGCTGCCTCATAACCAGTTTATTTATTCATTGCAAATGCTCTAAATGCTGGCAAACGATATAATTAGACTATAAGCTATCAAGGAATCAAATAAGAAACACGTTTCTGATACTCTGCACGACGTTCTGTATAATATTCTATTTGCCCTGTGTTTTCCTTTCAAAATGATATTGAACTTTAAATTGGGAGTTTTCCATGCTAGAATGTTCAAAACCAACAGCCAGCATTAGCAGGAATCTGCCATCAGCTCTGGCTCCTGGCTCCCATAACTGTCCTTCTCACAGAGCCATAGAATCACAGAGCAGCTTGGGCTGGAGGGGACCTTAAAGCTCAACCAGCTCCAACTCCCCGCCGTAGGCAGAGGTGCCAGCCACCAGCTCAGGCTGCTCAGGGCTCCATCCAACCTGGCCTTTGATGCCTCCAGAGATGGGGCACCACAGCTTTTCTGGGCAGACTGTGCCAGGGCTTCACTACCCTCTGTGTAAAGAATTTCTTCCTGACACCTAACCCAGACTTCCCCTCTTTTGGTTCAGAACTGCTCAGCCTTGCTTATCTCTAGCAGACCACGTAAGAAGTCAGCCCCCCACCTTTTTATAAGCTCCCCTCAAGGTGCTGCACTGCTACAATGGGGTTTTCCAGGGCCTTCTCCAGGCTGCACAAGCCCAGCTCCCTCTGCCCATCTTCCTAGGAGAAGAAAGGAGGGAGACAGCCACTTCCTTTGCTCTGCTGGCCACTCTCTCTGGATGCAGCCTCAGTCTCCTGTTTCTCTTCCTTCATCCTCACCACTCTGTGCACCTCTGCCTGCCCCCAGCCACATCTGGTGGGGAGGCACCTCCTGGTCAGAGTTTTGCTCCCTTCTCCTGTGAACGGCGATGCTGTGCAATCCTTCCTCCAACTAAGTGCCTTTTTACATCTGGAGAGAACAGGGTCTCAGTGATCTAATGGACCTCGGTGTTTGCACCCCAAAGCCGCAAAAGGGACAGTTTCCACCTGTTTCCACTTTGTCTTTTATTTAAGCAGTTCTGTTGACTGCTGCTGGTCAGTTTGCACACTGGTCGTACGGATCTTCTCACAGGGGTGAAATATTTATGTCACGTGTTCTGTTGTAACTCCTCAGTTTCTTCTCTTTGAGCTTGCAATCTTCACATTTTCAATGGTTTGGTTGGTTGGTGCCTCATAGAGCAGAAGTGCTGGGATTAAAAAGTACATATAGTATATAAAGTTCTTATCCATCTTGCAATTTCTGTATCTCAGTTATGTATTTGCAAAGTGAGTATGAAATATTTAACTGTCCAAGTCTATCTTGTTAGAAGCCTTTAAGAATGCAGCTTCTTTCAAATGTCCTTTAACATAACTCATGGTTAGGAATTAAACATGTAATTAAAAAAATAAAGTACAAATTGTTTCACATTTTCTAAAGAAAATGTTTGACCTTGAGTCATTTCCCCTAAAGATGCTGAAGGTTTTTCCAGTCGGAAGTGAGGAGCAGATTGCTGGTAAGCTGCCATGGGTTAAAAAGCTCCACATGTCATCTCGGCCCCAGGTTGGTCTTTTTTCCCTTGATGAGAACAGCCCTATTAAGCTGGACGTAGTGATCCATGACTCTTAGACAAAGCTGGTAGCTGGGGCCTCTTACTGGAATTTCGTGCCTCTGTTCGTGTAATTTCCTGAGCATTCTCACTGCTAAGTGGGATGCCTGGTCTTGTTTTGTTGACTGCACCAGGCTACATGAGGCAAGGCTTGCAAGGCAAGTTCCTCCTCAGGGCTGAGCACAGCTCGTGTTCTGGGGACATCACCACGCATTCCATCACCTGGTGTGTGCAAAGAGCACCAGAAGCAGCACATCAAAGACAAGACGCCTGTGACGTACCTAAAAACGCCATTTAAAGTGCCAACATTGTAGCTCTCAGAACAGCTAGGGCCAAAGATGAGGGTGGGAGCTGGGCACAGCCCCTCCTCCCAGTGCTGTGGCTGCTCACAGCCCCTCTCAGCCCTGCAGACCATCTGGGTGCAGGGCTGGAGTTGTGGCTGGGCAGCACTTTGAGCAGGCGATCAGCTGCAGCTCTGCTAGTGCACTGCTGACACACTGTGCTCTGCAGTTGTGTATTTTCTGCTTAAGGCTGGAGCAGAATGCAAAATTAAGAGATGAAACAAATCCCACTTGAAAACCTTTGAGAAGGAACCCAGTCAGTTCTCCTGTTACGGCTCTACAGACTTTTTTAAGTGACAAAGTGATGTTTTTCATTTTTCCTTTTTTTTCCCTCTTTCTTGTGGCTCAGAGGAAGAGGAAAGTCTCGTTATGGTGGGTGAGCATTTTATATATTTATTGGATTTCTTACATTCTTACATTTCTCTGCTCAGGCCCCCCACCCCTGAGGAGGGAAAACTCCAGCACGTGGAAATTGGCCTCATGTCATGTAAATGCAGCTCCTACAGATCGACAAAGAGCCTCCTCAAAGGACAAAGAAACTACAGTTTGTAATTCATTGCCTCTTCATTTGTGTAAAGTGATGCCTGTGTCTCTAATGTTTTTCAGGAGAAATATACTTTGCAGGATATCAGCTACTAAACATATTCACTGTAATTCTGTCCTTCCCAGTGTTTTCTCCGTAGATCCCTTTGTTATTTCCTCTGGGTCCCTCTTATTGATCCTTTTTGGCAGCACTTTTTCTCAAGTATTTTAAGGTCTGCTTATCCATATATTGGTCACAACAGCAGCTGCATGAATTTTCCTTATTCCCCCTATCCCCCCTACTCCCCCCATATGCTGCATGCCCCCATACCCCCCCACCCGTATGCCCCCTCCCACCCCCCATATCTCCCCAACCCCCCTACCCCCCCATTCCCCTCCGTCCCCCCCATGCCCCCCTTTCCCTCTCAATCCCCCTCATACCATTTAAATCCCCCCAAACCCTCTGCCCCCTTATTTCCCCCCATCCCCCGCCCATCCCCCCTATCCCCCACA